TTCTCCGGTCGCTTCCATTTGCAAATCAGAGAGCGCATTCTCCTGGGCTTGCGTGGAATGATTGCCAATTGCCTTGAAACTGGCAATATCGGGGCCGTCCGCAAGATCATGATGGACCATGAGCATTGGTGCCTCAAGCTGGTGAAAGACAACGCGGGCTTGTTCAAGGCTGCCGAGCTAGCTCTGCCCGAGCAGGTGCAGCGCGTCCCGCCATGGTCGGTCCCTCGCATTGAGAACTCAGACGAGCCTCCGTCGACCTTGGGCGGATTCATGGAGCTGGGTGTTATGAGCATCCCCGAGACACCGGACAGTGTCTGGGCCAACTGGACAGCAGGGCAGGAAGCCGCCTGTTTTGCCAATCCGTTGGCAGCGCTGGTAGCTTGGATCTACCATAGGCGCGTGCGCCGTGTGTGGCTGCCCGTCATGCTCCCTCGCTCCCGCTGCATCGTCGAAGAGCTTCAGCAGTTGTGGATTCCGTATCAGCTCTACCCCGTCGGGGGTGATTTTTCTCCATCCCCTGATTTCATTGAGCAAACTCAACCAGGGGACGCCGTGCTGACCTTTTCGTGGCTCGGCCGCCCACCTACGCCAGAACTACGCCGCGCACTCACCGACCGAAAAGGTGTACTGTGGATTGATGATCGGTCGCAGGCCCTTGCGCCGGGTATTCCCTGCGAAGCAGACGTAACGCTCTATGCCCCGGCCAATGTGCTCGGGGTAACCGACGGCGGCATTCTGGTGGGTGCAAATGTTGCATCCATGCAGCCCGCATCAGCGGATACCAATGCGCTCGCCGTCCAACTGCGTGATCTATTGCTAGAACGATTCGAGCATCCCGCGCTGGACAACGCACTGCCCGCGCAGGAGGCGGGCATTCACTTGGCGAACCCGATGCCCGGCGGTCCCATGAGCCGCCTCTCCGCCAGCATCCTGCGGCGGATTCCCATGACAGAAACGGCTGAGCGCTGCCGGACCAACTGGAGCCTGCTGCATGATTTGCTGCACGACTGGGCGCTGTGGCCTCAATACCGCACAGTGGAGTTCGCGCCTATGTTCTTTCCCCTGCGACTGCCACAGGCTATTCCTCCCGTTTTCTTGCGGACGGCATTGAATCGGCAGGGCATTCTCTGCGCAGATTTTGAAATAGCACTACCGATAAAGTATGAAGGCAGCCTGGGTGCTGAAACGGAATTGCTTAGATGTCTGCTGTGCCTGCCATGCGATCATCGCTACGTCGAAACTGACATGCGCCGAGTAGCCAGGGCCGTCATAAAGATATTGCGGGGTGATTCTGATTTTGGAACATCAGGAACAAGATTTACCCCCTAGAAAATCTAGCTCCTCACGCTAACAAGCACAGACAAGGAAACCATCATGCGATTCTGTAACCGCCCCTACGATCATATTCACCTTACCCATGGCGGCAAAGCATATTGCTGCTCTTGGGCCTCGAAGCGCACCATCGGCAATCTGTCAGAGCAATCACTCAAGGAAATCTATGAGGGCCCTGATGCACAGGCGCTGCGTGAATCCATCGAGGATCAGAGCTTCCGCTATTGCCGCGCGGTTTCCTGTCCTTTTCTAAGCAATGACACCTTACCAGATTTATCCCCCGCTGATTTTCAGCGCGAGGTAGATATTCGTACAGGTAAGCCACCAACGAACTTTAATATTGCTTACGACTACACCTGTAACCATGCCTGCCCAAGCTGCCGCAATGGCTTGTTCAAGACTGATACAGGCTATCGTGATCTCATGGGGCATATGGAAGATGAGCTTCTGCCCTATTTAGGCAATGCGAAGTTTATTGAAGCTTGCGGTAACGGCGACGTGTTCTCCAGCAAATACATGATGAGCATGCTGTCCAAGGTAAGGCCTGTTGACAAGAACTGCCTGATAACATTAGAAACCAATGGTGTGCTAGTGGAAAGAAATTGGGAGAAAATCAGTCACCTAGAGGAATATCAATTGACCGTGATCGTCACGCCCAACAGTTTTGAGCGAGAAACATACACATTGCTGAGCGGCGGCTTTGACAATCTGGACTTTACTCTTGCCAGCCTCGATTTTCTCTGCTCACTGCGGCAACAAGGTCGACTGAAAAACTTTATCATTACCATGGTAGTTCAGCCCGCCAACTTTCGAGAAGTCCCCTCGTTCATTGAAACTTGCTTAAACCGCTTTAACGCAGATAAAATTCAAC